TGTGATCCTTTCTCCATAAATTGTGGAAGTGGAAAAATTGGACATCCACATCCAGAAGAATGAAATTAGACCATTCTCTTGCACCATACACAAAGATAAACTCAAAATGTATGAAAGATCTAAATGTGAGACAAGATTCCATCAAAATTCTAGAGGAGAACACAGGCAATGCCCTATTTGAACTCAGCCACAGTAACTTCTTGCAAGATACATCCACGAAGGCAAAAGAAACAAAAGCAAAAATGAACTATTGGGATTTCATCAAGATAAGAGGCTTTTGCACAGCAAAGATACAGTCCACAAAACTAAAAGACAACCTGCAGAATGGGAGAAGATATTTGCAAATGACATATCAGATAAAGGGCTAGTTTCCAAGAACTATAAAGAACTTATTAAACTCAACACCAAAGAAACAAACAATCCAGTCATGAAATGGGCAAAAGACGTGAACAGAAATCTCACAGAGGAAGACATAGACATGGCCAACAAGCACATGAGGAAATGCTCCGCATCACTTCCCATCAGGGAAATACAAATCAAAACCACAATGAGATACCACCTCACACCAGTGAGAATGGGGAAAATAAACAAGTCAGGAAACAACAAATGTTGGAGAGGATGCGGAGAAAAGGGAACCCTCTTGCATTGTTGGTAGGAATGTGAACTGGTGCAGCCACTCTGGAAAACTGTGTGGAGGTTCCTCAAAGAATTAAAAATAGACCTGCCCTAGGACCCAGCAATTGCACTGTTGGGGATTTACCCCAAAGATTCAGATGCAACAAAACGCCGGGACACCTGCACCCCGATGTTTCTAGCAGCAATGTCCACAATAGCCAAACTGTGGAAGGAGCCTCAGTGTCCATCGAAAGATGAATGGATAAAGAAGATGTGGTTTATGTATACAATGGAATGTCACTCAGCCATTAGAAACGACAAATTCCCACCATTTGCTTCAACGTGGATGGAACTGGAGGGTATTATGCTGAGTGAAGTAAGTCAATCAGAGAAGGACAAGCATTGTATGTTCTCATTCATTTGGGGAATATAAATAATAGTGAAAGGGAATAGAAGGGAAGGGAGAAGAAATGTGTGGGAAATATCAGAAAGGGTGACAGAACATAAAGACTCCTACCTCTGGGAAACAAACTAGGGGTGGTGGAAGGGGAGGAGGGCGGGGGGTGGGGGTGAATGGGTGACGGGCACTGAGGGGGGCACTTGACAGGATGAGCACTGGGTGTTATTCTGTATTTTGGTAAATTGAACACCAATAAAAAATAAATTTATTATAAAAAAATAAAATAAAATCTCAACTACATTTTTTGTAGAAAAAAAAGATGAATGGATAAAGAAGATGTGGTCTATGTTTACAATGGAATATTACTCAGCTATTAGAAACGACAAATACCCACCATTTGCTTCGACGTGGATGGAACTGGAGGGTATTATGCTGAGTGAAATGAGTCAATAGGAGAAGGACAAACATTATATGGTCTTATTCATTTGGGGAATATAAAAAAATAGTGAAAGGTAATAAAGGGGAAAGGAGAAAAAATGAGTCAGAAATATCAGAAAGGGAGACAGAACATGAGAGACTCCTAACTCCGGGAAATGAACTAGGGGTGGTGGAAGGGCAGGAGGGTGGGGGGTGGGGGTGACTGGGTGGTGGGCACTGAGGTGGGTACTTGACGGGATGAGCACTGGGTGTTATTCTGTATGTTGGCAAATTGAACACCATTAAAAATATGTTTTTTAATTTTAAAAATTTGAAGTGGAACTTCTTTTCTTCTCCCATATATGTTCCTGAGCCTTGAGAGTCCACAGCCTTGTGAACATTGTGGCATGAGCGTCAGATCACTTTGTGATGAAGAAGAGACATGGTTCTCACCGAACCTGCCTTTCTGCTAAAGGCTACTGATGTTTGAATGGCCAGTGCACACAGATGGGTCACACATTGTCACATCTGACTTTGGAGAAGGATTTTTTTTTTCAAAATCACTGATGCCACAGAGAAGGGCTTCCTCTGAGCCTCAAGAGAAAAAAGAATTCCCAGAGACAAGTGATTATATGTGATATTTTTCTAATACAAGTTGCTTCCAAATTAATAGACCCTTTAATGTAAGACATCATAATAACAGAACACTAGGTAAAAATATATAATCTCAACAGATCCTTAAAGATCTATTGACCAAATTGAAAGTAAAGTCCTATAAAAACTGCAATTATTAATAGAAACAGAACAAATCTACTTATAACCTGGTAACACACTGGATGTCCTACACATAGAGGCAGGAAAGTAGCTAATGCGGCAGGAGGGAGGAAAATTCACAAGCTGAGGAGCAGGTCATTGTGACCTTAAGTCCATTATGACTCCAAATCATTCTGCCAGTATTAGGCAATGTATGTTAACAAGAAAAATCACTGATTAGAGCTTCTCATTAATAGGAATAAACAGGTATTTATTGCAAAAGATCCAAATGTATGGTTTGGCCATTGATACACCAGTGTTGGTTCAGAAGTGAAAGGAGAAATCTCCCCAATGAGCAAAAGAATAGGACTGTTAAAGTATGTCTAAATAAAAGATGGCACAACACCAAAGACATCTAGAAATAGTTTAATGACCAGAGATGAGGACGCCTGATTCCTCAGGCTCTAGGTATGAGACAAGCACTCTGGACCTGTCATTTGCTGTCCATGAACTCCAGTACAATGAGACCCTGTGTCTCAACTTCATGGAGGAAGGCAACCATTCTATGCCCATTGACAACCTTTGTCTAGGAAGAGATTGTTGCGAGTGACCTGAGGACAGAAAGTCAGGAGGATTCCTCACTCCTTGGTGGTGTACCTGGATGGATCTGGACCCATGGTGGCAGTTGACCATGGCTCCTCTTCCCTGTGAACCCTCCACAGCACTGAGGTGTGAGGGAGCCTCCCTCTGGGGATGGGAGGTTATAGGAAAGATTTAGGTAGGGATCCCTAATGGGTTATGCCGGAGAAACTTCTTTGTGTATCAATGTCCCTTCACACTTGGGTACCTCCATCATCTGCATAGCATTGAACACAGTGACTCACTCCTAGGAATGACTTCTGCAAGCACAGAACACTGGTCAACAGCAGCCAGAGCAAATGATGTCTTTGTAGCATTTTATTTAAAATTTGAATCCCTGAGCAGGGTCTTTTCACAGGAGACTGAGTTGTGGTGACTGGAGAGCCATATTCCATAGTTGTTTGAGGAAAATATAGTTGGGTTGAGGAAAATACAGTTCATACTGAGGAATGAGAGCTGCAGTGCTGATTAAAAATGATAACAACATATGCTTGCATTTGAAACTGTAACCACTATCTATCATATTTTTCCAGAAAAATTAACTTAATTGCCAAAGGGGGGGGGAAGGAAGAAAATTAAAACAAAACAAAAAAACATGGGTCTCGTTTACCAAAATAAAATAATCAGATGTTTTAATAATTAGAAAAATTCTGGAATTACATTCAATAGACTCTTAATGAATTCGTTTAATTTAGTGAGTTGTTTAGGTGAAAAACAGCAGCCTGATTACCTATATGCTCAGCTCTGTGTTGGGTGTGGTGCAATGTAGTTGTGTTACCTTGGAATTTTAAATGCACCAACATGTTTAAATTGATTAGTGAAAATCTAAGGTCATTAGTTAAAATTATTCCGTGAATTTAACTGAAAAAAAAACAATACTTTGAATTTGACACTTATGAGGGTTTTATCTTTTGAAATATCATTTTGTTTAGAAGCCTCATTGTTTAAGATAATTTTTGGAAAAATCACAGAAGAGGCATTTTTGTTCATTATTAGGTAAATTTGGTTCTTTTTTTTTAAAGATTTTATTTATTTATTCATGATAGTCACACAGAGAGAGACAGAGAGGCAGAGACACAGGCAGAGGGAGAAGCAGGCTCCATGCACCGGGAGCCCGACGTGGGATTCGATCCCGGGTCTCCAGGATCGCGCCCCGGGCCAAAGGCAGGCGCCAAACCGCTGCGCCACCCAGGGATCCCAGTAAATTTGGTTCTTACAAACATTTGCACCCTGTATTTTCTTCCTCTGCTTCCTCTTTGAAGATGCAGAGGTCTCAATTAAAAATTTTATTTTCCTTTCTCCTTCCAACATAGTAAAAAAAAAAAGAATTTGCTTTGTCTCATTGAGTGTCACACACAGGGTAAGGCTGCCCATGTTCTTCTTCTGATGGGGGCTCTCTCCCTTGTGGGTGGCCACCAGCTTTCTGGCTTAGGACAGAGAGAGGAGCATGTGGTACACCCAACCCTCATTCTATTCAGTCCGAATCCTGGCCAAACACCACGTGTCCTGGGTGGTGAAGGGCATGTCTGTAATGGTAAGTATTTATTGGGCCCCTGGCCTGGTGCTGGATGTGGTGGTTGGCAGTGGAAGTCCAGGATGGGCCAGACAGCCTCAACCCTGCCTCATGGGGCTGTCTCTGGAGAGAAAACATGAATAGGGAGCCCAAAGTTGGTCTACCTTCCTCATCTTCACTCCTGGAGGCAGGGAGATTAGAGCCCATTTCTTGGGCTCCCCTTGGGTTGGAGATATGGAGACTGCTGTGTCACAGGGGAAATATGAATCACAGACAACAGGAGAACTGATGGCATGACTCAAAGGTTTCCTGGGTTTAGGTGATGCTGTAGAAAGGCCATGAAATGAGTATGAAGAGAGGGAGACGGAGAAGAATAACATAACCCTGGGGACGAGGATCCCCAGGAACAAGGTCATGAGCATCCCGCAAAAGGAGATTCAAGTAGAGAAAAGCCAAAGGAACCCAGGAAGATGGCTTTGGTTGGTCAGGTCGATGGCCTTGCTTGCTGTTTCACTGTGATCTATGGAGGCTCCGGGAATGGAATTCAAGATGGAGCCATATGTCAGAGGGGAGTGCGGTACACTGTGGGGCATAGGGATGGAGGGAGAATAGATCCCCATCAGGGGAGATCAAATGAGAAGAGTAAGGTGGCCAATCTAACATCTAGATGGCCTTCTTTGTTCCTTTCCCATTAATAAATCCATGTAAATGATTTTTTTTTGTCTCAGGGTAAGATAAATTCAAAGCTCCTACTTTTATTGTCCTCTAAAATAAGAACCAGCTCATCTCCAACACAGGAAATGTTCTTCTTTGGCCATGTTTTGGTTGATTATAAGTATTATGTTTTTAAGATTTTATTTAAAATCTTATAACATTTTACTGTTTTCCTCATTAATACAGGAGCTGAATAACTTTTGTGAAATGTGTTCATATTCTATTTATATGAGAGACATGAGTGCAACATTAAAAAAATTAGAATTTTACACTTTTGGAAGTCATTCACTGAAATGGCCAAAGGGACTCTTCTAATCCAGTCCAGCTGCATTTTTGTGACTGAGTCTGAAATCTTTAAGCTCAGAATAACTTTTTTTTAGGCCCTAGAGTGAGTGATTCCTAAGAAGTAAATTCTTTGCTGTCTCTGTGTTTTTCCTGAAATCCCTCCCATCCACCCCCACACACACATTATTGTGGCAATGGACAGGAGGTGATTATATGGGATTATGAACTGATTGATGGAAAGGTGAGGAGAACATGAGGCAGTGAGTAGAATTTTAAAAAGACTCTAAGCCTAAAGACATAACATGGCATGAATGGATAGAGAAAGAACATTCCAGAAGAAATCCGTCAAGGGGAGTCCAAACTCGGAGAACGCCAGAAGAGTCACAACGGACTTGACTTTGTCCCAGAGGGGCAGAGTCAAGGTGGACTAAGTCAGGCAGACTGTGACCTCACTCCCTATTACCAGGCCCGTGTGAGGTGGGGGCTCTCAGCAATGACATAGAGGTGACCTCGGGAGCCTTGGAGTAGGAGGAAACCCATATGGAGTGTGTGAACCAAAGGAATGGTTCCTGTGCTGGCCCTGAGTCTGGTCATACCTGACGGAGTAATAGGTGAGAGAGAGGCACTCACATGTAGGGTTGTGGGGAATTGGCCACCGTTGAGGTTTCTGGAAGCTCCTTTCATTTCTTCCTACCTCTGATGAGAGGAGGCCATTGAGTGAGGAATATTTTTGCCATTTTCTGCCTCTTATGGGGCTGCCTGCCTTTCAAATGAGCACCTTGTGCCTGGGACTCCATGTGTTTGACTTGGAATTGATCAGGTCCAGGGACATCAGAATGGTCAGGATGTTGAGCTGTAGTTTTATGAGATGGAAACAACTTGTCTTGTGTCTGCATTCCCAGATACCAGAGTCCACAGTTCATGTTCCAAGCTGAATAATCAAGAGGGTAGAAGACAATGATGCAGATTATGGGGACCTGTTTGGTGAAGCTTTCATCACTTTCTTCTCCTTTTTGAACCCCAAATCCCCAGCCATGTGGTTTGTCAGTGACTGAGCCCAGTTTCAACTAAACAGTCCCTTCCCGCATTCCCCACACCAATCAGACCATCTGCTCACAGGTCACCATAGTGGTGTCAGGGGAGATGATGGAGTGGGCCAGTCAAGCCATCCTGAAAGCTGAAGATGCTGATTTTGGGTCCAGTAGGGCTAGTCTTTCTCATTCTAGAGGGGGTGTTGTGTGGATCTCGTTCCTGGGACTCAGAGACACTTTGTCCTCATGTGGTAAATCATCCTGAGACATAATATGTTTTGTTTGTGTGTCCTCTTTCTTTCTCTAGACACTGTCAGCTCCCTGAGCATGGGGGCTTCCTATCTTTCCTGAACTATTTCCTGACCAATTAGACACAAGCCCAATACATAGAAAGTGTTCAGTAAAAAATATGGATTCATACCATTGGAAGTGTTGACTATCCTAAACCAGACATAGCTGGACTCCATGTTCCGGCTTTCTGTCCTAACCCTTTGATATGGACTGAACTGAGTACCCTCAAAATCCTATGTGGAAAACCTAACCACCATTGTGATGATGAGAAATAAGGCATTGAAGGATGTAGTTATGGATAGATGAGACCATAGGAGCGCTGTCCTAATATGGCTGGGGTCATTTTTAGAAGAGGCTGAGACACCAGATGTAAGCAAACATAGAAAAGGCCCTGTGAGGATCCAGAGAAAACGGAGCCATCTATGAGCCAAAAAGGGAGACCTCAGGGAAAATCAAACCTGGAAATACTCTCAACCTTGCTTTTCAACCTCCAGAACTGTGAGAAAATAAGTATATGTTATTTTATCTACTCAGACTGTGGGACTACATTATGGCAGCCCTAGCTGATGAGCACAATCCTCAGGGAACCTGTCCTCACAGCAACTTGTCCCAGCATCCAGGAATTTCTGTTCAGTTTACATGAAAAAGAAAACTTGTGATAAAAGGACACATTTCAGGGACAGAATTGAGAGAACAAGGATATATAGTCTAGAGAATATTCACTGGGGTGTATTTCAGACCTCATTTTTAGGCCAAACAAAAAGAGAAGCAGATTCCTTGGCAGAGGGTGCTTTCTGCAGAAGGAAACCCCATCACTATGGGGAGATCAGGTTTTTGTTTCATTTCCACCCAGGCCTGGAGGACTGTGTGAGTGCTGAGACTGTCATCCCAGGATGAGCAGTAATAATCAGCCTCGTCCTCAGCCTGGAGCTCAGAGATGGTCAAGGTGGCTGAGTTGCCAGACTTGGAGCCAGAGAATCGATCAGGGACCCCAGAGAGTCTGTCATTATTCCAATAGATGATGGTTTTAGGGGCTATTCCCGGCAACTGTTGGTGCCAGCTCACAGAATTAGCACCAATGTTGGAGCTGCTTCCAGTGCAGGAGATGGTGACCCTCTGGCCCAGGGTCCCAGACACTGAGGGAGGCTGAGTCAGCACAGATTGGGCCCAGGACCCTACAAGGGGAGAGACACAGAGAGGGTAATGCTGGGATCTGGACAGAAGAAGAGGAAGCAGGTCTCCATGTGTCATCCCAGGGCCCCTTCCCATGTCCCCACATCCAGTCACCTGTGAAGCGAGCGAGGAGGGTGAGGAGGAGAGGGGACCAGGCCATGGTGGAAGTCATCACTGATCCTGCCTCTGTGGTCTTGCAGCTGAGCAGAGCCTCCCCTCATCTCTCCCATCTCCTCTTCATCCTCTGAGAGAGGGAGGGCCTATCCATGCAAATTGACCCTCCCTGACCCTGGGTCAGGTCCCTCTGCCTGAGTATGTTAGGGAGTTGGCAGGGGAGGGGTTGTGTGGGGCCAGGAGTGGAGATGTCACAGCTGTGAATCCTGTACAGTTGGCAGAGCAATGCCAGTTGACAGGTCCCAGCTTTGATCAGCCCTTAATCCTCAGAAATGTGCCCTTGTGTCCAGACTCAACACGGCATTGTGTGACTTGCTGTTTATCAGAGACACCTGCTCTGTCTACTGTCTTTTAGGGCCAAGGTAGGTGTCCACTTTTGCCATCTCTCATTATGTCAGGAAGGAGTTTGCTCTATCCAGACTCTTTAGGGTGAATCTTTCCATGTGTCCCATGGCTGTTCATGGTTCAGGACTGAAGTGGTGTGTCTACACAGATACCTCGTAAATCCGTACCAAGTCCAGAACAGAGACCTACCCCATGAATACAGTTACCTTTCTGTATAGGACACAGGATTTCTCCTTGTATATCATTCCTTGCTTGTTAAAAATGCAGCAGTGTACCTCCCACACTTGAAAATATTTGTTCAAATTTCACTTTCTGTGAAAACTTTAGGTAGGAACTTTGCTTTTTGATTGCTCTTTAATCAGAATTCACCATTTTACTCATTCCCCCACTAATAAAAGAGTTGAATCAAATCTTTCTCACTTGTTCATTTTGTACTTGTATGCATGTCAGGTATTTGGATTTATTTTATTTATTTATTTTCAGGCTAACTCTGATCCCTGTCCCAGGACACAAAAGGAAGTGAGTGTGAATGCACCTCCTGTGATCAAGAACCTGAGAAGAGGCTCTCACCAATGACTCTGGTGACCTGGGGGAGCACAGGCTGGGGATGGGAACAGAAGGGGCTCTATCATGAGATGTGTCCAAAACATCTGTGGTGAGTCTCTGGGTCTGGTCCTGACCTGAAGGAGGGAGAGATGGAGGATAGGATTACAGATGATCATGGGATGTCTTAAGTTTGTAAGAATTAGAAAGGTCTGAGAGTAAAAACTGAAACATTGGGACACAGCAATCCCCCTGTCTCTGTTCCCTGCTTAGCTCTCAGTGTCCACAGTACAAGACACAACATGAACTAGCTATAAGGGTAGAGAGCAGATTTGGTGGAGGGCTGAGTCATGTCCACAGTGGGGACACATGGGCAAACCTTCTGACCCTTCCCTCTCCTATCTGGACTCACATATCCCAGCCATATAGTCATCATGTGATTGACCCCAATACCAACTCCAGGGATGAGCGTTATTTTTCCTAAAGAAATCAGACTATTCCCTTTCTGATAACCAAGTTAATGTCAAAGAAGATGATGTAGGTGGTCCAGTCCTCCGGAAAGCTGGGATTCCTGATCAATGGGTGCAGGAGCATGAGATTCTCTCATTTTTGAGGTCTTGTCATGTGGATGCAATATGTGGAAATGCTGAAGGATTTTACCCCTATGTGGGTAAAATCAGCCCAGGGGTAGGGGGTCATGAAAAGGACAATTCAGATAACTATCAGAGAAGAGAGAATGAGCCCTGCAAGGTACTCCAGTTGTCACCTTGAGAGAATATATGCCTGTGTAGCCACAGAACAAGTCATGGAGGCTGTTGCACTTCCATCATTGGGATGAGCTTCATTCCCCATCTCCATACCCTTGCCCATGAAGTTTCTTCTCAGGAGCTCAATCATGCCCCTTTCAATTCCAAAGGGCAGCCTTGAAACCACACCTCGTTGTTCACTATCTCCTTCCTCTCTAAGCTTGCTGAGAAGGCCCATTCTCTTCCAAAAGCCACATCCAACCCCACTAGCCTTCCTCTTCCTTCTTCCTCATTAATGCTCACTGAAGCATATGGACATTTCTTTCTAAGCTTGAATCATATCCCATGTCTTCTTGACAAATCCTCTTGCGACTCCTATCTCCACCTGGCCATGCTCACCTCTACTTACTCCAAGGTAACATTTTATTTGTATTGATGCTTTTGCTGGATTGTTCTCTCTTCCCCAGGAAGTGAAATCTTGGAAGATGCCCTGAGAACAGGGCCCACCCCTATCTTGTTCATGCTGTTTTCTGACCCCCTAAACCCAGTGTGGTAACAAGTACATATTAAGGAAATATTATGAATGGAGGACCTCTCGATGGGCCAACTGTCTTGAACCAGACTCAGCTGGACTCTGTGTCACTGTTTCTACTCTGACCCATCATGCATTTGTTTCCCAGGGTAAGCAGACCCTGGCGTCAAGCAATTGCTCATCATTGTGAGACAATATCACAATATATGGTTTCCATGGACTGGATATTAGAATAGAATTTGAGAGGATAAGTACAGTTTGTAGATGAAGTGCAGTTAGGTAGAGTAAGTGCTGTGAGAGTGAAGAGCCCACAGAGAAAGTAGGGAGACTGGATCTTGATTCTTCACAGATCTGGAACACTGTGTGCAGATCACTCCATGTCTGTACAATAATACCTTGAATCATCTTTGGATCCAGGAAATGATGGGGGGCTGGTATCCCTGGTATATTATCTGACACTGAGTTGTATCTCAGGATATAACGACGAGGGCACCATGGTTTCTGCAATGTCAGTATGCCTAATTATAAAAAAATTGCATAATTTTTTAAACCAAAATGGTGTCACTTCACAGGTACATATGAGTTTGACAGGTCTTCCAGGAATGTGAGAAGGAGGATGACTGAGTCAGCGCAGGTTAGAAATGGGAATCCACAGACACAGACATCATGGGTGATGGGGCAGGGGTGGAGGCGAAGCTACTTGGGGATCTGCTTCAAAGAGGTTGACATAGGTGTGTGGGCTCCCCTAGATCACTGAGGATGGTCCTTACCTTTGCAAAAAGAGGGAAACACAGGAAAGAGAAGCATCCACACTATGGTAGACACAGACCTGCTAAAACCCTACAGCCAGATCTTGGTTGATCCAGGCATCTTATCCTCTTCAGTGGTCTCTGGAATAAAGGGGTGTTTCTGAACATTTTTTTCCATACTTTTGATTTCTGCTTCACTCTGAGAATCAGCTCAGATATGCACTAGCGTTTAGACAGAGGGGGCTGATGGGTGAATCTCAGTATGTCCCCTGGAGAGACTATGGGAGAAGCATCTTCTGGCATCTTCCACAGACATGTGAGAAGGAAATTCTGCCCAGCTCAGAGAGGACGTACCTTCTGAGGCCCCACCAATATCCACAAGTACCTATAACCCAGCCTTGTGGATTTTAGGTGATTTGAGGGAGATTAAACAGAAGTAACCCCCTGCAAACACTAGGGTAAGCTCACAGTGACCTGTTCTGCCCACTGGCCAAATTTCACCCTCTCAGGGATACAATGTTAGGGCCACAGTCATGATAGCCTGGTCACTGCCAGTTCTCCAACACCCAAGGGACAAAGTCCCTGCTCTGCCTCCAGGTAACTGAGATTAGCAATCAACCATTTCCCTTTTTTTAATATTTTATTTATTTACTCATTAGACACCCAGAGAGAGAGGCAGAGATATAGACAGAGGGAGAAACAGACTCCTCTCAAGGGGCGCTATGTGGGACTGGATCCTGTTCTCTGGGATCATGCCCTGAGCCAAAAGCACATGCTCAACCACTGATCCACCCAGGCATCCCACCATCAGCCCTTTCCATTGCAGGAATTTCTAGAATACCAGGAGGACATGTGGAAATACGATCCTGTACAGGATGGGTTGGAATGCAGGGAGGTGGGAATGCAGAGGACTGGCTCAATGGCCTGATTCTTCCTTTAGTGGGGCCCTATGAGGGGTGACTAGTGACCAGGTTTGAGGCAGGAAGCATGTCCTATTGGAGGACAAGGATAGCAGACACCATGCCTGGAAGAAGGGAAGTGTTCCTAGATGATACTCAGTGACACAGAGCAGACATTGATGACGGGAAGGCAATTGCTGCACAGTGACTGCTACATGGAAATGGTTGGAGAGTGAGAGGAATAGTGGACACAGCACAGAATGATATTTCTATATGAACAGATTGGAAGGCATTTATGAAAGACTCACTGAGATATTAGTGACTTGCCATCAAATGCATATATTTAAAGTTTTCATCTCAATACATTTCAAGAGGTATATAAACAAATAACCATCACCACAGTCAGGTTGATGATGTAGGGCCAAGGCCAAGTTGCAAGACGATGGGCATCTTTGGCATGAACGTTGTTCTGAGTTCAAAGCAATCACGACTCAGCCAATCGAGGAAAAGCTCTTTACCTCCCCTTCAACTGCAAGCCTGTCTCAAGGACATGAGAAGAACAGAGAAGCCTCTTTATCTAAGAAAATTATGTGTGTAACAGGGTAACATTGATTTTCTAAACATTTCCTCTCACCTTCCAGCTGACGGTCTTTCTCCCTTAATATCATCAGGCCCCAGGCCCCTACCCTTCTCCTTAGCTCAGAAGATCAGTTAAGCCTTGTGATTACGGATCACATATAGACAATTATTCTGCCTGTTACTCTGTGGGCTACTTATAAAGATCACCAGAGATGTCGAAAATGCAAACCAAGAGCACCCAGCAAAGGTCACTACCTGTCCTGACTCCATCTGCTGATGCTTCCAGCCCCACATCTAGAAGTCTTCTCACTGGCAGCACCCAGGACTCAGACCTGGGTTTACAATTAGCTCTGAACATTATCCTGTGTTTTACTCTTTTTCTTTTTTTTAATAAATTAATTTTTCATTGGTGTTCAATTTACCAACATACAGAATAACACCCAGTGCTCATCCCGTCAAGTGCCCCCTCACCCCTCAGTGCCCATCACCCACTCACCCCCACCCCCCGCCCTCCTCCCCTTCCACCACCCCTAGTTCCTTTCCCAGAGTTAGGAGTCTTTATGTTCTGTCTCCCTTTCTGATATTTCCCACAC